TTTTATATATTTGCAAAAATTCGTTTAAACTGATAAATTAAAAGCAGATCAGAGAGACGGTTTCCTTATTAATAATAATGTCACGTCTTAAGCGCTAAGTAATCTGCGGTTTTAATACTTTTTCAATATTATCTAATTACGAGGGTGGCACTTCGCTCCCACGCAAAGCGTTACAGTAACGACGATATTAATCGCCGGCGTTAAGAACCAAGTACGCAGCTTCGCTCGTTTGTGGCGGTGTTTCATAATATTCAAGACCTTTCACGAGCGCGAGAGAGACCGAAAGGTAGGAAGAATGGTATTCGTCGTTCTTCCTCTTTTCCTCCCAAGTCGACTGATATCAGTGAAGCTAAGCACGCGAGTTTCGCAAACGTGCCGCGGACGTTACAAATCAGCGAAATGAGCTTTTAAGTACCAAGACTCGTAAACGCGAGAGAGGCACGGGCGCGCTTCCGAAGTTGTTGGCCGACGAAAATTCACCCTTACATATCCGCCCTTTCCAACCGTGCCGTAATATGAATACAAATTACCCGACGTTCCGAAAACTTTTAACTCGCGCCATCGCTTCGTTTTCCCGTCCACTCCTTTTCAATTCACACTTCACTCATCCCGCCCTCGTCCCGCCCCCTCTGTCTCTTCTTAACCCCCCTCCCCCCCCCGTGGGGCACGTGGCTGATGTATACCGCTAATTGACCAACACTTATTGTATCTCGTAACCGCACGCGCGGAGGCGCGCGCGCTTTTGACGGGCGAATGAACACCCACGAAGACGAAAGTTGCACGCCACTGGGAAAGCAGAAACGAGATTATTCTCGTGGAAAGTTTGCTGTAGGTTCGCGCAGCCGGTGACGCTAACGAGGCTAACGCCATTGCACCCGTTTCCATCGTTTCCGCGTGTCGTCGACGGTACCCCACCGCTATCGCCGTCAGACGCCCCGATCTACGACTTTCTGTTGGACCACGACGACGAGCGTATGTCGAGTTTAATTCTCTCGTCGTCCTGGACGCACGAACGAGAGATAAAGTGGCATAAATCAGATCTTCTTCATTTAGAGAATTTAGCTCGCGTCCGGACAACGTGTTTCCCAAACACAAGCAGGCTTTTTCCCTCCGGAAAAGACATCTCGCGTGAAAATATTACGCGTACAAATATATATTTTAATATTATGACATCAGGGAATTTTTTAGTCGGGAAAATAACTCTAGTTTGTATTTTATGCGGGATACTGACGTGACTTGGTTGAAAGCCCTGCACTACTGTGTTTGTAATAGAAGCCGGTATTAACTCTTTGCGGTTGTAATCTGGGATATTCAAGATATTTTGGCAAGCACATCCTAAATATACCGGTTTACGACCACAAAGGGTTACACAAGGCGCAAATGTTATTCACAGGCGCAATATAGCTTTGACATCTGCTTAAATTATAATTTCAAGAAATTATAATTCTTGCATTTTCAAGTAAGTCTTACATAAATATGACTTTATTACTGCTTCAAATACTCCACGTCACTTCTGCAATCGCAAAGTATGTCTACTTTACACGATAAATATGTTGATATCTAAATTGTGTCAATATTTAAATTTAAATTGTTCAGACATGAATTATACCGCACGAAAAATGACTTACATCCTAAATATGAACTTATATACCTTGTTTTTACGTTAGTTAAATTTGAGCAATTAAAAAAAAATTGATTTTTGCTGTTGACACAGCAATAATTCGTATAACTTAATTCAAATAATTTATAGGGGAAATAAAGCACGTTTTGAAAGCTAGAGGGCAAATGTTGCATCCTCTTATATTCGGGACACAGTCGTAAATAAGTTTATACACAGGCGCAAGTGGAAACTTCAGTGTATGGTGTAAGTGCACTTTAGTGGAACCTATGTACGGCGAAAGGGTTAAAATCAAGTGTCGCGAGCAAACTTGCGAAACTAAATTAATTATTCTTTATACGCAAATTGTTACAAGCATCGCGCTGCACGTAGAAGAGTAAACATGTCAATAAGAAATAACGCGATATAACCGAAGATATTACAATATTGTAAAATAACGAATATAGATGATATGAGAGATAATACCTGTAATTTAATAACGAAGCGTAAAAAGCGTAAAAAGTAGCTGCAAGGAACACTATGGTTATAATTCACAGCAGGAGCTATGCGTGCAGTTACTCTCATCAAAGGACTGAGCTCGATACATTCATCCTGCGCTAATTAATATGCCGGTAGTAGCATCGGGGAGGATATCGATATTAATTGAACTTAACAATGGATATTTTTCGCTTTTACAAATTAATCCATCCTTTTAGAGTTTCGCGAATATATGTCTACGCGTATTCATCAATCAACCAACTTTCTTTCTTTCTCCACAAATTACAAGTTTCGATAAATAATGAAAGCTCTTTGAAGTTTTACGAACTTCCCGATAGAAGAGCGTGACATATATATTTGAGCGAATAAATCATGACTTCGCTTCGCGAACGTTCCCGTAACGAGCAGAACTTTCCTTCGGGAGATACATCAGAAAGGGAGCCAGCGCTTTTCTTTTTTTCCTTCCTTCCTCCCTCCCCCTCCCCCCCCCTCTCCCCTCCCCCTGCTAAAACCCTCGGTTTTGTCTTGTTCGTTAAGTTTCTACCTTGTGAGCCGGGCGCAACGTCTCCAGACGGAAACGATGTCAACGATACTCATCTTAATGCCTGTTGAACCGAAAGTGCAAGCAAGAGAATGCCTAGGCTCCTAGACTCTCCAGCAAGCAAGCGTAATGAAAACGTATATTGCGAGAGAGGAATTTACCTGGCCATGTTCCTACTCGTTGTTTTCCCAAAGATTCTTAAGATTCTTTTGCATTTAACAATTTTGTCAAATTACTTTGAAACGTCATTAAAGATTATTAAGCTCTCGTAATATATTCTTATACAAACTACTTGTGCGATAAGAAGCTAACATAAATGTCTACAATGCTACTAAGAGAGTTTGATAAATGGGAAGGGGGGAGAATATTTGAGCAATTTGATATTGATTTTTCCATGATGAAAATGTCACGGCATTACTCGTTTCCAGGATTATAAGCGATTGAAAATCCCAGGGATTTTTCGGTATTAAAGTAGCGCAAATATAATAGAATTGAAAGAGAGAACAAGATTAATATATGTACATATACAGTGAGAGCAAAAAGTATTCGTTATAAAAAAATTTGTTATAAAAAAAGTCTTATTTGTAAAAAATAAACATTAATTAACAATTTTATATAATGTATACATTCTGTTCTAACATAAACAAACGAGCTTTGCATGTATTCCTGATTTTAGAAGAGACTAGACTTTTCGTCTGTACGAATACTTTTTGAGCATTCAAACAATACAATTTTTAATTTTCGCTTTTTTTCAGATGATATATTTTATATAATTAATACGTATCTTTTTGGTATATATAATTTTAAGAAACATACATATCTATTTTATTTTTTATAAATAAATTATTAATTATCCAATAAAAAGTGATCGTCAATTAAACGTCGAATTGACATCAAAGTGATGTGGAAATCATCGTATTTATATCGATTCGACATCA